CAACAATTACTAGCACGTGGGGACACTCCGTTCTCACCAGTGCCAGGGTTTTCATAGGAGGCGGGCAATACCCCCACTTTGTGGGGGGGGCCGGTTCAAGCTCTACCAAATTTCCAAACGACTCTTCGCCACCACCCACACCCAGCTTCCCGCCCTATGACGTTCGGACACTTCACTTCGTGGCATGCGGACGACCGTGGCTACTATTCAGGGCCCCGCGGCCGACGACGACGGCGTGCGCGCGCGAAGAAAAAACGAATGTGTCCCGCATGGTATTATTTGACAGGGATGATGGCCCTGGCAGGTGCGCAACCGTTGTTGCAGCAGAGTTCGAAAAAGTTGCTCGCAAAAGCCCGTTTGACAGAAATGTTTAAAAAGTGTTGGGTTTCCTACGAATCCGCAAGAGCGCGCGGGATGAAATTTTGACACTTTTTTTTGAAAAACCATTGTTTTTTTGATGTTTTTATGTTAAAATCGCTACGAACACTAAGGTTTTGGAAGGATTTCATCTTGCGCGCGCGAGTGTGCACTTCGTGTCATTTTTTGCAAAGGATTCTTGAAGTTTGGTTATGTTAGAACAAGACATGTCATTTTATATTGTTTTTTGACAGGGAAAGCGGGCGTCAACAAAACAACCGGATCCGGACTCCCCCGTTTTGCCTGAGACTTCCTCACGAAAATGATGAAAATGTGGCTGCGGCCTAGGCGCGGCGAGGGGGGCGTGCACCAGGGGGCCCAACAATAATTATTCTTTAGAAGTAATAATATTCAACACAACGAGATAGACAGAGAGAGAGAGAGAGAACAACAAATCAGATCACGAAAGCAACAACAACGAAAACACCAACAACACATACAACACCATTGACAACAACAGTAACAACAACCACAATAACAACAACGACGACAACGACAACGACAACAACCAAAACAACAACAACGACAACAACGACGACGACAACGACGACGACAATAACAACGACAACGACACCAACAGCAAGGACATCAACAACAACAGTATCGACAACAGTAACATGACAGCCACAACAGCAACAACAACAGCCGCAACAACAGCAACAACAACAGCATCGACAACGACAACGACAACATCAGCAACAGCATCAGCAGCAACAAAACAACACAACGAGCGAGAAAGAGAGAGAGAGAGAGAACAAACCATCATAAAACAAACTTAAAACAAAAAAACAACAACAACGACAACAACGACACCAACAATATCGACAACAACCACAGTAGCTACAACAATAACAGCAACAACAACCACAACAATCATTTTAGGACTGCTCGCTCTTACTGGCACGCGTGTCTTGTATTCTGTATACCCCAACCCTCGATACCCGCCCACTTCGTCTCCGATTGCACCCCTTTTCGGGGGGAATCTCTCCCTTGTCGGCCAGGCCACTGACTGAAGCGCGAGGAAATCTCGAGCGAGAGCGCCCTTCCTGAGTTAGAGGGCATCTCCGGCCAGGGCCTTTCGGAATACCTATGGAGAAATATCGAACGGATACCCTTGTCGCCGTGTCTGGGCCTCCACCAAATTGCCGACATTACAAGAAAATCTCGAGCGAAAGCGCCGTTCCTGAGTTCGACGGCCTTCCTAACCAGGGGCTCTCGGAGTAAATCGTGAAAAAATATCGACCAGGAGCCCTTGTCGTCGTTGCTGGGCCTCCGCCAACTTGACTGATTGCGAGGAAGTCTCGAGCGAGAGCGCCGTTCCTGAGTTCGGGGGCATCTCTCGCCAGGGTGTCTCGGGGTAAATTGTGGAAGTATCGAACGGGAGCCGTTGTCGTCGTAGCCGGACCTTCAAGGGCCCACGTTTAGACTCAAGCCAGCGCTCGCGCGGGAGCCGTGCTTTCAGAGAAAATGTGGCCGGCGTCGAAGGGAGAGCGCGCGGAACCGTTTCCGGAGACCAGCAATAATTGTTCTCTAGAAATGAAAATTCAACAACAGCGACGACAACGACAACAACAACGACAACGACGACGACGACGACAACGACAACGCCAACAACATCAACAGCAACACCAACAACAACAACAACAACAACAACAACAACAACAACAACGATGTCAATAAATACAACAGCAAGGCAAAACAACTAGCTGGTGTACCCAGACCAGGTGCACCAGCTGGTTGTTTCACTCCATGTAGTGGAACAACCAGCTGGTGTACCCTGCGCCACCCCCCACCCCCCCGCGCAACGCAACACAACGCTACGCTACGCTACGCTATGCTATGCGCCATATGGCCAGCAAAGGAAACCACAGGAAGCCGCTGGAAATCTTTTGGGTCCCTCAGGCAGCCCACGTATTTCTACGAGCTCAACCTATGCGCGCTCCACCGAGGCCCCTATGTTCCGATCGGAACCCTGTGGAATTCCAATCGGATCCGTTGAAGCCCTATAAAATTCCTATCGGATTCCAATCGGATTCGCTGAAGTCCTATAGGATTCCTTTTGGATTCCCATAAGGTTCGTTGA